ACTGGGAGTATGTTTTTTTTTAGTTGCAAGTTTGTGAAATGCTGCACAGGCAAGCGTTCCCGAGAACGTTCAGTGATCCTGGATCTACTTTTGTTCGACCGTGGCTTCTGCTCAGCCAAGACTTTTTTCAGATAATTTACTCTTCATAGTTAAGATTATTATAAGCATTGGGTAATTGATTAAATATTTTGCTTCTCTTTTATGACGGATTTATGAAAATGAAAATATTAAAGTAGAATACTACCACTAATGAAAGTTTGATGTAAATAACATGAAATAAATAGCGAAGCAGACCAAAAGATCACTGATCTTTTACAACAAGTTTCCCCAATTACACACTGTCAAAAAGAGGGTTCAGTTAATAAAAACTTTCTGATCGGTTCGACCTCTTAGCTTTCAAGCAGCTTCATTTGTGCATATCTTTCTTTCCCATCGAGAAAAATTTATTCTCATTCGCATTCCTGTCCACGAGTTAAATTTTTTCTTTAAACTGCCTTACTCTTCACAGTCATCAAAATCGCAAAAACTCACATCATTAATTTTTAAAACTGTCTCCTTTCTTTTATTTAGTCGGCCTCAAAGCCTTACCACAGAAGCGTCGCAAGAACTATATATATATATATATATATACGGTGCGGAGTATATGTATATGTATACATGTATATATATGTATACATATATATATATATATATATATGTTTTCATTATACTCCGCACCGTATGATAATGTGAAACTGAATACACTTTTCCAATGTTTTAGGAATCGCGTACTAATGCAAACCCAGTCAATAAGCGATTTTGGTGGAGTGCAGTGGGAGCTGCTTGGCATAATGACCGTTACATGGTTAATTGTATACTTCGCTCTTTGGAATGGAATAACGCAAGCACGAAAAGTAGTGTGCATTTTTTATCAATTCTGTTTAATGTATAAAAAATCTAACATTTTTGGTTTCGACAGTTTTTGTATATTCAACAGAGACTCGATATTCTTAATACTGAAGCAATTGTTGAGCTTTCAGTACGGACAGAACTGTTGTTTTTATGGTCCAATATTTTACTGAATTGCTTACCTAGCATAATTGATTAGCTGAATCAAAATAAACCATATTTTGATGCCCCTAAAGTTCCACAAGTGAGCTAAAATGTGATTTGATTTACATTTTGTTAGCTGTGCAATTCAGCTCATCAAAAACAGGGAATTATAAAAATGCAATTTTTTAGTTCGTGTACTTTTGTGCATTATCGCCATATATTCTGATTTCTGTACTATTAGCGCGTGGATTGACATTGCCTGGGGCTTGGAAAGGCATCAAATTTTACTTAAAACCAGATGCGACAAAACTGCTAGAAACAACAGTCTGGAAAGACGCCGGAACGCAGGTTACTTTTTTTTAGGTACTCTGTTTTAACAGATAAAGCTCATAGATCGTTAGTCATTCATGCACCATGACTTATTTAGTAGTTCTTTAGTCCCATAAGGATTTCAAAACTTTCTAAACCCTTTCGCTTCAGGTGTTTTATTCTTATGGAGTTGGATTTGGCACCCTCATTGCACTGGGGTCACACAACAAATACAACCACAACTGCTTCAGGTCGCCACTTTTTTAAGTCCTTCTAACAATTCACCTTCCATCCTTATTTTCTTCAGCTTAAAGGAATTAAGAGCACTTTACTGCTTGATGTACTATATGTATATACATATATATGTATATATACATATGTACACCCATTGCTGCAGGTGTTGAATTTCATTCATTTCCTTCAAAATTTCATGATACATTTTTCATTACCTTGTCGGGTTTAACGTACTGATATCGCAATAGACAAATCGTGCACATACTTAAGCAAACACACAGCTTTTTTTCATGGGCTCAGGGACTAGACACATTGTTGCACGTTTGAATCGCAAACCTCAAAATTTAGTAACTTCAGAATAGTTATGGTACCAGTGGTAGTCGCAGGGCTTTTTAATAAAATCCTTTATTGGCGAATTTGTAATGAGAGTTTCTGGCGCAGTCGGATTAATCCTTCATTGTGTACTCTTCTAATACTAAACTAGTATCATATTATTACAGGGATGGATTCATCATGTGCTTCATAAATGGTTCTACAAGTATTTTAGCCGGTAGGTTTTTAAAAATACTCTGGCTAGTAAAATTGTTTCGAATTTAATAATAT